CTCACACCCATACGCATACAAAGTGTTCATGTATGCATGCATGCATGCGCGTGCGCGCACGCACACACACACACACACACACACACACACACACACACACACACACACACACACACACACACACACACACACACACACACATACACACACACACACACACACACACACACACAAGCACGCACGCATGTAATATATAAATTACAATCATAAACAATAAATATATGACAATAATAACAATCACACACCACACACATACACACACACACACACACACACACAAGCACACAAGCACGCAAGCATGTAATATATAAATTACAATCATAAACAATAAATATATGACAATAATAACAATAACAACAATAATACCAATAATAACAATAAAAATAGTGTATGCAACACAAAGTCACACTCACGATACAAGTTCCGATACTTCGAAGTGCAACAGTTTTCCTCTGAGCCAGTTTTTGTACTCATTAACCCAATTGTAGACTGTGTTCACAGGGCAGCAGACCATTACTCGCTGTATGTGACGGTTAACCTTCTTGCTGGACAACAACGTGTGTGTGAATGTGATCACCTACGATAAAAAAAATTTGATTAAATTTAACGGTTAATGGTTAAAAGTTAGAAGAGATTGGCACACATGCATGACTGAGCAGAACAATATGAATGATCATGACCATGATGGGCACAAACAGGGAAGTGAATTATGGAGCAACAGTGTATGGTTGGTTGGCCAGAACGGCAACATTTCTGATATTGACAGGGATGATATGGTTGGATAGGGCAGGACACTCCACCAATATAAACTTCATAGGGGAGTTCATGTCTATGGAAGCTATGGTAATATTGGTGTAGGATTTATGTTTGCCTCTGGGAGTAATAGTGTAGCACTGGACTGCCACTGCATCATAGTCAATGAGGCATGTGAGCAAGTCGTTTTCACTAGTCCTTGTCATAGGCAGGACAATCAGTCGGAGAGATGGAAACAGTTCCAGTACAAGTATTAAGAGAGGAGTGTGGTTGGGCAGGAATAGGTTTGGCACAACCTTGGGACTCAGATGTTGCGGTATCAAGGCATGAACAATCAGAATGACTGTGAAAGAACACTTTGCCTAACTGTATTTGGAGACATTGTTGGAAGGGAATGGCATTATCAGAGTATGGGGCTGTAGGGGGAATCACAAAGAATTGATCCCACTTGGTTGAGCCAAAAAGGTTACTCAAAAGGTTTGTAGAGGTGGAAGAAGTAGAAGGATGAGGGTAGCAGGAAGATGGGGTGGTATGGGGAGAGGTAGTACTGTTGGGAGGACAATAAGGATGAATAGTAGTAATAAGGGAGGGGGGGGAGGTAATCAATAAAGAAGACTGTGTAGTAGATAGGGTGAAGGATGTTGGGAGAGACGAAGGGGTGAGTAATGATCTAGGTGGATAATTTGGAATGGATAGGGTGGTGGTGGTTCACTTTATTTACTGGTATTAAAATGTGTAAAAAGAAAGTAGTCTTAGATTTCTTGATTGGGGTCCAGAGCTAGATAAAAAAAAAAAAATTAAAACATATATTCCATGGTACTTACATAAGTTAATTTGCATTTTACATTAGATGACAAAAATAAAGTGTATACATCAAAGGTATGTGCTAAGAAGTCCATTAGCTGTGTGGGATATTTTGCATCTATATATTCCACAATAAATTGTTTTGATTTAATACATGAGTTCTCAAATTAATATACTCCTAGATGTAATATCATTATATGGGGGGAAGGGGGTTATAATGGCAGCAAAATCATTAGTCACATAACAAATAACCTTGAGGGGCCCAGTGGGGTGTTTGCTTAGTTTAAATAATCATAATAGTTCCAGTGTTTATTAAGAGATTTACTTACTACTGTTCATGTGCTATGATCTATCACTAGAGATACCTATGTCAAACAGAAGTCATAACCAAACTATATTCATCAAGTCTAAAATCACAGATGTAAATTGTAACTACCAGTAAATTTTTTTTAATCAGCTATTTACCATAAAATAAGGAAAGTGTTAACTAATACCATAAAATTTACACTCACCTGCAAAGTCTTTCCCAGACCCATGCAATGTGCAAGGATACAGCCACTGCCTCGTTTACTACTTAGCATTTCTATGCTCTCACAGGTTGCATCCCACATAAATTTAATACCTTTGAACTGTAAACAGAAATGGTTGCAAAAGAATTAGTAATGGTAAAGATCACAAGTAAATATATAACTAACTGGTTTACTCCATGCTTTCAAATTCTATTTACTGGTTTTATATCAATTATTTCCAAGGTTGATGATATCAATAAACCAATATATTCCAGATATACAACTTTTGTATATAATGAAAAGTCATAAACAGATTTGGCAGTTCCAGATAGAGTAGATACAAATAAGAAATGGAAACAAGTAATATACAAACCTGATGAGGTTTTAAGAACTTGACCAACTTTTCATCTACAGAAACAAGTTCTTTCTTGGTGTCAGGGTCAAAATCAAGAACCAATTTCCCTAGGTCCTTTTGATCTGATTCAACATCGATCTCAAATATTTGATTGTACTGTAAAAAAACAGAATAATAAATATATAAATAAATATATGAAATAAAAATATACAACTATATATCATTATCCCTTTCTGAGTGGCCAGAGAAATATCACTTTGACAAGCACTTGCAGAGGTCAACTTCAGTACAAATGTGCAACATATGGCTTTGTGCTATGATTAACAAGTCATGGCACTTAGATAATGATAGTACTTCTCATGGCTTGCAGGGGAACTATCTATTTTTGAGAATGAAAGTACCTGCCGAATTGTTTTACTAAATAGAATGTTTTTTTTGCTTCAAGATATATTGATTTTATTATCATTATCATTACCTTTTAAAAAATTCAGATACCTCTTGAGTCAAGTGACCAGATAATGCAATCCCCAAGTTTATTTGAAGAATGCAATTTTTGACCTCATTTTTATATTCACATCTGATGCTCTTAACCCGTATCTGCCAGGCCACGTTTAGAACTGTCATAACAAACCAACTCATCATACTGGGTATGGCTAAAGGCATTGTGACGTGCTAGAGTGCATCAAGTGGAAAGTTTCGCAATATGCAGTGGACCCCTGGCCAAACAGCAGGATGGTTGCCATAAATCACCAGAGTCAGTGATGCCAAAAGATTTCTTTTACTGTCATTAAGGGGTTAAGGGTTATCATTAACCCGAAGCCACTGTGAGTGAAATTTATTGATTATTTTTACATATGGATGACTCCACAAGTCACCAATGAGAAATTAGGAGTACTACCTATCGCAACTCTTTACCCTTTCCTTGATTTTCAAAAATATTTTTCTGGTATCTAATATTGCTGTTTGTAATATCAATAGCTACAATAATTATATTGTCTATAATAAAAAATACCAGCATTAATATTGATATTATTAGTAAAAACATTATACCTGCAAATCAAGGAAATGGGAAATTAGGTGATGACAAAAGGTCTACTAACTGACTCCTTTGTGGCTAAGCACTTGCAGAGCCATTTCAGAGACATTTCACAAAATAATATAGTGAACACAACATTTTCCTGGGGACTTTGGGTTAATAATCAATTAGCATAAAAAACTACATTCATACTATGTTATTTTTTGGTATAAGCCCACCTGTTTCTGCCTTTCTGTAATACGCTTTCTTCGCTCCTCTTCCTCTTGTGTGGCATTTTTAGTGGTCTCCATTAAGTCCTCATCCCTTATTACACGGCGGATTTTGCGATGTTTACTAGGCGAATCCTCCTGTGGTGCAAATAAATATAAAAGTCAATTTTAGCAAAAAGCATTATCTAATCAGATATCTAATATCAGCTATACTCTTATCAGCTTATTAATCCCTCTCTATCTATCTGTCTCTGTATTTGTTTCCCTTGAAAACTCTTTTTGCTTTGGGAATTTTAAGACTCATATCAAATGATCTTAAAATAGAAAATCATTATAGATTATGTAATAATAATAATAATAATAATAATAATAATAATAATAAAAAGTAAGTAAGTAAGTAAGTTTTAACTATAATCTTGTCAATGACACTAATAAAATATTTGATTTGGCAGTACTGATAAGGTCGTGATAAATCTGTAAACACATTCCACAGACCAGACATGCACAGACAAAAAAGTCAAATAAAGGAATTTGTACAGACCTTATTTCCATCATCACCATCTCCCTCATCAGATGATGATGACATTTTTCTTATCCTTTTTCTCTTTGGTTTCGGTGCTTCTTCAAGTTCCTCACTATGTAAAAGAAAGAAAAAAATTAGTTTGGTATTAACCATACAAAAGCAAAAGAGAATATCTAAAAACAGGTTGTCAAAATTATAATTTATAGATAATTTGAAAAAATAATAATAATGATAAAGGAGGAGAAAGGTGAGGAAGAAAGCAGAAGACAGAAGAATAAAGAGGGGGAGCACAATGATGATGTTGAAGGAATGGAGAAGAAACAACTAAAGAAAGAAAAAAGAAAAAAGAAAAAGGAAATTCTACAACTACTACTAATAATAACAATAACAAAGAGAGAGAAGGTCATTAACTTCAAAATCTATCATTAGTGTGACTAACATATAATATATATAATATAATATATAATAAAAATAAAACCCTGTAACTCCATATGGACCCTTACCTTTCATTTTCTGATGAAGTTACCTTCTTCTTTCTCTTCTTCTTCTTGTCATCATCACTTTCTGATGAGGATATCTGGAATGTTCTTCTCTTCCTTGGCCTAGAAAATTAAATTTTTTCGTCATTCATAAAATCTTCAACTTTTCTATAAATTGGGACCACTTGAACAAAATACTGGATAACTGAAAAATATAGCACAAAAATTGAGAAAATATATATGAATAAAATATAAAATATGATAAATTTTATGCAGAATATCTGATACTGTAGGTCTTACGATTCTTCGAAGTCGCTATCGTCCTCCTCATCTTCCTCTTCCTCCTCCTCCTCCTCCTCTTCCTCACTGTCTGGTACGTGTTCATCGTCTTGTTCGCCAACTTCTCCATCATCAGAGGAGATGTTTAAGTTCATGTAACCCTTCTTGTAAACCTATGGAGCACACAAAAATTAACATAGAGAAAATATGGGCTAAAAATGGCTTTTCTCGTGTCAATTTTCCCTCATAAACCTAATTTTAGACTAACAAAATCTGTTATAACCAAAATATGACTAGTAAGGGGTTAAAAACATTCACAAGGCCCTAACAAAAAAAACATGAACACACACACACACACACACAAAAAAAAGATGAACTATTATGAGACCATACACCAATCAATAATGTCAACAGAAGTGCTAACAATACCTACCTTCTTGCTTGATTCCTCCTCCTCTTCTTTGTTTTCTTCTTCTTTAGCCTCTTCCTCCTCCTCCTCTTTTTCTTCTGCTTTCTTCTTCTTCTTTTTCTCTTCATATTTCTTTCTTCTCTTTTCATCCTCTTCTGCATCTTCCTTTTCTTCTGCATAAAAAAAGGAAAAAGGGGAAAAATAAATACTCAACAAACAGATGATCCAAAACTATAAAAATAACACCAGCATTCATTAACAGTATGAAAAGACTCAAAGCAGACCTTTAATCCATTTTTTTTCCTTCTATTAATGGAACTTGAAGCAATCAAACCCAGAACAAAGATAGTACTTTTTCATCAATTACCTTCCTCCTCCTCCTCCTCCTCTTCTGCATCCTCGTCACTACTCATGAGGATCTGCTTCTTCATCTTCTCGTTGAGGCTTATCCCACCATCCTTCCCCTTCTTTTTCTTCCCTTCCTCTGGCTCCTCCTCTTCTTCCTCATCTTCCTCTTCCTCTTTGTCAATGCTGATGTCAAGTAAGCCCTCTTTTTTCTTCCTGGTTACCCCTTCCTTCTTCACCTTGCTTTTGTCATCTTTTTCTTCCTTGTCACTCTCAGACTTTACTTTCACATCTGCTTCTCCTTCTTCTTCTGGCTCTGATTCTTGGTACTTCTTCTTGCTTTTGGGTCCAGGTTTGTTGAACTTTTTATTAACATCAAATCTGTAAAACACAACCAGCAAATTAACCTCATGTTGAAAAAGTATTTTATGACCTTAAATGTGAGCAAAAGAGAGAGAGAGAGAGAGAGAGAGAGAGAGAGAGAGAGAGAGAGAGAGAGAGAGAGAGAGAGAGAGAGAGAGAGAGAGAGAGAGAGAGAGAGAGAGAGAGAGAGAGAGAGAGAGAGAGAGAGAGAGAGAGAGAGAGAGAGAGAGAGAGAGAGAGAGAGAGAGAGAGAGAGAGAGAGAGAGAGAGAGAGAGAGAGAGAGAGAGAGAGAGAGAGAGAGAGAGAGAGAGAGAGAGAGAGAGAGAGAGAGAGAGAGAGAGAGAGAGAGAGAGAGAGAGAGCAAAAGAGAGAGAGAGAAAGAAAGCAAGAGAGAAAGAGAAAGAAAGCAAGAGAGAGAGAGAAAGAAAGCAAGAGAGAGAGAGAGAGAAAGCAAGAGAGAGAGAGAGAGAGAGAGAGAAAGCAAGAGAGAGAGAGAGAGAGAGAGAAAGCAAGAGAGAGAGAGAGAGAGAGAGAGAGAGAGAGAGAGAGAGAGAGAGAGAGAGAGAGAGAGAGAGAGAGAGAGAGAGAGAGAAGCAAGAGAGAGAGAGAGAGAGAAAGCAAGAGAGAGAGAGAGAGAGAAAGCAAGAGAGAGAGAGAGAGAGAGAAAGCAAGAGAGAGAGAGAGAGAGAGAAAGCAAGAGAGAGAGAGAGAGAGAGAAAGCAAGAGAGAGAGAGAGAGAGAGAGAAAGCAGAGAGAGAGAGAGAGAGAAAGCAAGAGAGAGAGAGAGAGAAAGCAAGAGAGAGAGAGAGAGAGAGAGAGAGAGAGAGAGAGAGAGAGAGAGAGAGAGAGAGAGCAAGAGAGAGAGAGAGAGAGAGAGCAGAGAGAGAGAGAGAGAGAGAGAGAGAGAGAGAGAGAGAGAGAGAGAGAGAGAGAGAGAGAGAGAGAGAGAGAGAGATTGATAGAAACTACTATTATCATCACTGTATGTATTTTACATTTTTTTGATATTATCATCAGTTTTATCATTAGTCAAAGATTGAAGTAGTGAAAATAAGTTGGTAAATCCATAAAAGGAAATACAATCCTAGAGGTGTAACAAAACTAAGCAAAATTTTATAAATTCAAATAATAATTTTCCTGATGATTTCAATAAAAATATAAGTGGTGGAGGTGGGGAAAATCTCAATTGCTTGTTCAAGTACTCACTCAGGTAAAAAGGATCAACTATGGTTGATTCAAGCATTCCTGAAGAGAGGCACATTCTCTCTCTCTCTCTCTCTCTCTCTCTCTCTCTCTCTCTCTCTCTCTCTCTCTCTCTCTCTCTCAGATAAGCATAGGCATACACACAGATACAGAATGAGGGAAAGTAAAAGAGGATAGAGAAAAGAGATGCCAACAAAGAAAGAATGAGAAAAAAATAGCAATAATAATAATTCAAACAAGGTCCATACTCATCAGACTATCCCACTTCTTACATAAAGAGTGCCTCCTTTCTTTTAATAGAATATACATATTTGCTGAATCACATAGTCAAATACTTCCTACCATGTCTTCTGGTACTGGTTTTAAATTTTAATATTCTTTATCTTTTCAGATGTCAACTGTCTCATTATAAAGAAAAGAAAAGAAAAGAAAAATAATATAAAAAATAATAATAATAGTAATAATAATAATAACAACAAACAAATCAACAAAAACACAAACATAAAAAAATATATACTGCAGTGATTCTGGAGGTAACCAAGGAAGTTAGGCTTCCTAAAGTAATTTCTATTTATGAAATCATAGATAAAAAATACAGAAAAAATAAAGGTAAACAAAACAAAAAAGGAAATAAAATATCACTACTGATAAAAATGATGATGATAAAATGATCACTTGACTTATATGAATGCAGAAGCACAAAACCACCAAAATACTAAACAGTTCCTACTTACTTCATGAGCTTTTCAAATTCCTCATCTGAATCTTCTTCATCAGCTTCACCATCATAATGCTTTGCTTGTTTCTGGCGCTCTGCCTCCTTCTTTCGCCTGAACTCGGGGAATTCTTTGACGTCAATGAATTCATCTTTCTCCAATTTGCTCTTGACTTCTGTGCTGATCTTCTGCACTTTGGTCTGGCACTTGCTCTCCAGCTGCTTCTCCTTTAGTTCTTCCTTTTCTTCTTCTGTTAGGTGCTTCACTTTCTCCATCTTCTCAGCATATTTCTTGAGGAAGTTCTTTTTCTTACACTTGGGCTTGGGTTTGTCCTCTAGTTCATAATCACTCTCACTTTCCAGGAGAGAAGCCATGGCCATCTGGTTGTCATCCTTATTAGGTGTACTGCTTCTTTTCACATTTTTCTGTTTTTCTCCTTTCTTGGTGCTCCCATTCTCACCACCAATTTCACCCTTGCTCTTACCTGCCTGCCGTTTCTTTTTTTCTGGAGTACCCCCTTCTGAACTTTCTCCTTGACTGCATTCCATGGGTTCATCATTTGCTCCGGTTTCCTTCTCATCACCAGAGTTGTCTTTATCATTTTCAGATTCACTTGCTAACAATTCTGAGAAAGCCTCATTGTTCTCCTTCTTCTTCTTCTTCTTTTCATGTTCATCAGACTTCTTAGGACTGTTTCCACCTTTCTTACTTTCAGCTGTTTCTTTATCATTTGCTTCCTCTTCATCTGAACTTTCCTTTCCATTCACCTCTTCCTGTTTCTTCTTTCCTTTGCTTTTCATTGGACTTTTCCTGGGTTTCTTCTCATCATTACTGTCTGTTCCTTCTCCAGAGCCCTTCTCCTTCTTAGTATCCTTCTTCATCATCTTTTTCTTCTTTTTCTTCACACTATGATCTTCATACTCTTCTCTCCGCCTCCTCATCTCTGTATCAGTGTCTTCCTCTTCTGATGATTCCTCATTGGATGACATATCTCCAATTCCCAACATGTCATCCTCATCGTCTTCCTGCCGTCTCTTCTTTGTTCTTCTGCGTTGAGTTTTCTTCTTTTCCTTTGAATCTCCGTCTTCTGACTCTCTGTTTCCTCTTGCCTTTGCTTTACTCTTCTTTTTAGTTTCCTCGTCACTCTCCTCCTCCTTGGGTTTTCTTCCTCTTTTCGGTTTCTTACCTTTTGATACTTTCTCAGAGCCATTTTCCTCTTCCTCATCACTAATCAATTTCTTTTTTTCTTTTTTCTGCTTCTCCTCCTTCTGAACTTTTTGTTTTCTTCCCTTTGATTTACTTTCTTTGTTATCTGCCTCCTCATCAGAATCCTCACTGTCTTCCTCCTCCTTCTCTTTCTTAATTACTTTCTTTTCTTCTTCTACAGATTCCTCCTTTTTGAAAGAGCCTTTCTCATCTGACGAATCTCTCTCTTCCTTTTTCTGATCTTTGGCCTTCCTTCCTCTTTTACTTTTCACTTCTTTTTCAATGTCTGAGTCAAGTTCCTTCTTTATGTTCACCTCATCTAGTTCCTCTGTACTTTTGCTTCTCCTGGTCTTCCTTGCATTTGAAAGAGGGGTCTTTTGTTCTTCTGAGCTATCAGCACTTTCTTCACCATCCTTCTTCTTTGACAAACTTGCCTTTGCACTTCTTTTAGATTTTTCTGTATTTTCATTTCCAACATATTCCAATGTAGTAGTGGTAAGAATACTTGAATCTTTCTCTGCCTCTTCACCTTCACCATCAGATCCTGATTTTGTCTTGGGATTTTCCATCTTGGCTTCATCGTCAGTTTCTAAGACACCTTTGCCGCCACTTTCCTCCACTGCAGCATCACTGATATTATTCATCACTTCATCCTGTTCCATAGGGTCATCTATATTAGCTGAACATTCATCTTCTGATCTAAAATTGGCCTTGCTTGAATCCTGGCTTGCATCATCTACCTCCATTTCCTCTTTGCTTGATGCCTTGGAAGAATCTTGGCTTGCAGTCTTTTTACTTCTGGTTCTACTTCCTTCCTCTGCATCTGCCTCGACATCTTCATCATCAATCTTTGACTTATTCCTCTTTCTTTTGGGCGTGACCTGTTCTTCAGTTTCCATGTTGGTTTCTTTCAAGCTGCTTTTCTTTTTGGGTGAAGATGTGGTACTTTCCTCAACTTCCTTTTTGCTCTTTTTGCTTTTGTTCTCAACTATGGAATCTTCTACCTTTTCTTCTGAAACCAGTTTTTGTACCTCAGCTGAAACATTTTTTTCAAGGATTTCAAAATTGGTAATCATCCCTGTGAGTTGCTTTAAAATTCTTTTACCTGCCTTTTCAGTTCCCTCTGCTGAGTATTGGGAACTCTTCCAAGTGCTGTTTATTTTTTCAACATTCTTTAAACATAATGAAAGCATATCAACCATAGTTTCAATGCTCTCGTTTAGCCAGGTTTGGCCTTGCTTTCCTCTGCTGTCAACAGATTTGTCCTTTTCCGTTTTCTTTTCAACTTTCTTGGGTGAATTCTTTATGGCTCTTTCCTTCCTATTCTTTTTCAGAAGCTCAAACTTTGAAAGTAAGTTCTTTTTATTCAATTCTTTCCTGTCAAACCAAAAAAAAGAAAAAAAAGAAAAAGAAAAGAAAAAAGGAAAATTTAAATTAAATTCATAAATGACTTTGAATTACAAGAGAGAAAAAATGAAGATGAGAAGGAAAAGAAAGATAATACTTATTCAAGGTATTTACTAGCAAACTACAGACCAACACACACAATGCATTACTTGGGAATATTTATGTATAAAAATTGTATAAAAAAAGTGAGCATAGCAACTATCTTAACCCAATGTGCGCAGGCTTTTTCAGCGGCTGTGCCAAATGGTTTTCTCCATATGGGCCACATCTGTAGGGATGCCACCCACGGCATTGGCACTACACCGCCATGGCATCATAGTAGATGCGACCCATGAACAAAGGGTTAAGAGTCGATTCTGGCAAAAACCTTGTTATGCTCTATGTGCATTAAATCTGGATAAGTCAGTGATTCATAGCAATATATACATCTATACTGAACCTCAAACCTCATTCCCCCTCCATTTAAAATTTCAGTCATTATTGAGACATCAACATTACTTCCCACCTCACTTTAACCCCTTGGTACTTTGCTGACAGCATGTGGCTCAAAATCTGAGCATTAACCCTACAATGCCAGTACCAGAAATCTCATGGCATCACATATTCTGGTGACTTCTGGCAACTGTCCAGCTACTGGACCTGGGAGTCTGCTACATGTAGCGGAACTTCTCGCTTGACTCGCTCCAGCGCATTGCACTCCTGTCGAGTCATTTACGTTACCCCATCCTTCAGTCTAAGTTCTCATGACAGCAAGTTCTCATCACCCTGGCCCTCAGCTAATATTTTCCATGATGACATGTTCATGTCACCAGCCCCTCAAGTCAAATTCTTTCATGACATGATGGTCACATCATCCAGATTGTATGCATTTATATGTTCACTTCTATAATATAAAATTGTCATTCTCTGCTTTTATCATTCCCAGAATTCTTATATTTTCATAAAAAAAATTGATGTACATTATATGACCATAACTTTAAGAAATAATCATTAGTGTTGCCTCTACTTTTTGCTTAAAAAAAGAGGTATGAGACTACAAAACTTTTTCTTGCAATCACATGTGCAAGGATATCATGGAATGATTTCAGATATGTCAACCCAAGGTCACCGGGAAAATGCACATAGATGGTGCTTAGCCATAAAGGAATCAATAAGTAGAACTTGTGACCTTACCGGACATCAACTTTCTTTGAATTTGCTGATTTTTTTTTTTTTTTTTTTTTTTTTTTTTTTTTTTTTTTTTTTTTTTTTTTTTTTTTTTTTTTTTTACTAATACTCTCAATACCAATTGTGCTATCTTTATTAATGACATGATTTTTACTATGATGTTACTAACATTATTAGCAGAAATATAAAATATAAAAAATCAAGGAAAAGTGGATCCATCTATGTGTTAAAACAATTAATAAAGTAAAATCACAGTGGGAATGGCATATATATATACATCATGGCCATCAGTTTTGGGTGAAATTGTCCTTTAGGCTGTCTTTTTATAATTTGAATTTATTAACACATATTCTGGGTTGTAATAAGGATCATCATCTACCTAAATGGAAAGATTTATACTTTACAAGGTCTTTTTAAATGTAATAGTAAAAAGGGGTATATTTTGTGGGTACAGTTACTGCCCAGGTAACGATGTCATAAAATCCTTTATGAGGCATCAATGCTTGTTGGTGTGAAAGTCTGTGCTTCTAATTGAAATGCAAGGAACTTCCACAATACTCTACAATGCATACCAAATATCTATTTTTACAATAATCTCATGATTGTGGCATGTTTGAGGGAAAGGGGAAAGGATTCGAGTTATCCACCATTATCATTCATGAAATAAAACCTTACAATCTTAAAATTTACTTGGATGTTCCCTTTAACCCCTCAATGACGGTATCAGAAATCTCTCGGTGTCACTGACTCCGGTGACTTCTGGCAACCAGCCATACAACAAGGTAGTCCACTACATGTAGCGGAACTTCCCGCTCAACGTGCTCTAGCACGTTGTGACACCTATAACCGTACCCAGCATGATGAGTCGGTTTGTTGTGATGGCTATAGGATGGCCCGGCAGAACGGGTTAAGATACGTGAATTAATATGGATGAACAATTCCTGAATTCCCTTACCTTGACAGATTGTCGTCTTGCACTTCTGATTCCTCTAAGTTACTCAGAATAGCTCTGTGCAATGCTCGGAGCTCTGTCATTGAAGTCTTGTCACAAACGTAGCACGCCCAGTTCTCTGCTGTTTCTGCATTCTTCAGCTCAGATCGACCCATGGTTCGCTTTATACAGCGCTTCAGAGAAGAAAAAAAAAAAATCAATACAGTTCCAATACAAAATAACTTTTTCTTGAGATTAATTTTACAATATGTAAAAAATACAAAGGCATGAGAAATTCTGGTGCACGATTCTTTTCCACTACTTGTCAGTTCTTCACAAATGTTCATACATTTTTAATGTGTAGACTAAAGCAAATACTTCAAAGATAACAATTTGTAGGTTTACCTTACAAAATCCATTGAAACAACCCTCCTGCTCACAGCACAGTAAATCACCTCCTTCTGCACACAATCTGCAGTACTCATCATAACCTTCTTCATCTTTGCAAAATCTACCTTTCCCATAATATTTCCTACATCTCTGCAAAATTAACACACACAAAATCATAAATTAGAAAACTAGCAGCATTTTCATTTCTAGCTAAAATGCATGAAAATAGACACTCTAATAGAAAACTTCTTCAGTGTTTCATGAAGTCTATATTTATCTACAATAGTGATTATATTTCTGATCATCCAAATACTTAAAATATGTATAACATAAAAAAAAACTACTATGACTACTACTACCACTTGTAACACAAGTCTTCTTAAACTGTAAGTGGTTTGAACTGACAAATCACCTTGCATGAAAGAACTCCTAGTACAGGGTGGGTATAGACCAAGGATCGAATCTGATGATTGATTTGTTCATTGCAGGCAGTGCATCTCATCACTGCATCACGAAGCTTCTTTTGAAGATCTGCAAGAAGAAAAAGTGGACAGGATTGCAGTGAATTTTGTCAAAAAAAATTCATGACTACTCCATTCTGAAAGATCTTGTTTATCTTTTCTTTTTTAATAAGAATAAACCTGTGTTTTATATCCTCTGCCTTACCTTTCCTATTGGCCCATAATCTACATCTACACTACTTCTACAGTACACAACACTACTTATCCTATACTCTATACTTACCTTGTCTTATTGTCTTTTGACAAATTCACCTTTGCTTTGTTTCTCATTCAATTTTTCTGTGTTTTCCCATTTTCCTTCATAGATCCCTTCTTTCAGTTTTTTGTACTCTTCTGTCATTTCTTTCTTTTGAGCCTATTTTTGTATAATTTTATTATTCTCTATATATTAAGAAATTATTTTAAACTAACAACATACACTATTTAAACCCTTCGATCCGGTTGATGTGACAATCATGTCATGAAAAAATCTGGCTGAAGGGGTGGGTAACATCACAGGAAACTCTGGCTACAGGTCAGGTGACGCGAATCTGCTGTCATGAGCATTTTGGCTGAAGGCCAGGGTGACGGGAAAAACTCTCTATGAATGCACAAACCTCTTGAGAGGTTGCTAAGACTCTTTTGGCGATTTGGATTAATCCCATTGCTAAACAAGTCTGGAATGTAATATCCGTGAACGACGACTGGAAGAACACCATCTTCATGAAGGATGCCATTTCCATGCTCAGCATTATATTCCTAGTGCCATGACCAGCAATACAGGTTGTATTACAGAAAATTGAATGTTATGATCTAAGGGGTTAATATATGAAATGAACTGCATTATGGGTAAAACAAACAACCCAACTGCAGGAAGCCAACAGTATATAAGGCCAAGCCAGGTTGAGAGAGAGAGAGAGAGAGAGAGAGAGAGAGAGAGAGAGAGAGAGAGAGAGAGAGAGAGAGAGAGAGAGAGAGAGAGAGAGAGAGAGAGAGAGAGAGAGACTTTTATCTTGTGTGATGTCTTGTGTGATGACAGACCTTTGGATCATTAGCTGACTGACTGTTGTTTCTCATGATGTGGCAAGTTGCCTCTGTGTTACTAAGTAAGTGTATGGTGTGTTGTCTCTACTGCTTATATTCAAAAGATCTGTGGGTAGTAATGTACATAGTTGCTCTTTTCATGTTGCCCTTTTAGTCAGCCAGTGATATAAATTTCTTTTTATTACAACTATGGGATCACTCTTAAATCACTTGAGACTCGTCACCAATTACGCCAAAACCACACGGACATTACCTGTAACACACGCTACCAAATAAACTATGATCATCCACTACAACGATCACAAATATATCTGCAGCTCTTTATGAACTGCACTCTCAGATGAACCACACTCATAGTGACAAATTTAGAAAAGGTATGAATGATAATGAATATTTTCACAATACTAGAGATGTTCTTAACCCATTGGCGACAGGCATGTCATGTAGCCATGACATACCCACAGTGAGTTTGCTTGTTTAATTGTTTTAACACATAGATGGCTACGCTTGTACCAAATCACCTATAAGCCAATTACTGTCTCGCCCGTTTACCCTTTTCTTTAATTTACGAAAACGTTTTACGTTATCTTATTTTGCTCTTACTAATGTTTATAACATTATAGTAATTATAATGTTTATAATAAAAATAACACCATCGATATTCATAGCACTAGTAAACAGTACATTTTCCCGCCAATTCAAGGAAAGGTGAAATCAGGTAAGGCAGAGCCATCTATGTGCATGGACATTTCACGAAAAATATAAAAAACGAGCACAGCATTTTTCCCATTTTTATTCATTTTCCCCGTCGCAAATGGGTTAAATGGTTTTGAATATATCATTGTCAGAAATACATTCATTTCTGAAGATTATACATTTGAAAACAGTTAAATATATCTCTTGTATTGTGAAAATGTTCATTCTCATTCATACCTTTTCTACAAAAGACACTGTGAAGAAGACAGGAGAGGGGGATAAAAAAAAGGACAAATAAACAAATAAAAAACAGGTTTCTTACCACTTATGTTCTTTCGGTAATATTCATCCTCCTCTTTGGTGTATCTGATTGTCATCTCATCCTCCACTTGCCTGGACTTCTTCCCTCCAGCATCAGCCTGGTCTTCCTGCTGAGAGTCACCATCTGATGAACCACTGTTCTTGCCTTTTCCTTTTGCTGATTTTTTATCTCTTGTGTTGTCTTTATCTGGTGAAGTCAGGAAGAGATGTACAATTTTCTAAAAACATGTGTGCAATGAAAATAAAATAAAACTTCTAGAATACACACAAAAGTATGAGCACAATTCAAGCCTTCTACTTTTAACACAATTCACAGCCAAAAGTACTTAAATCTACAGAAAATTAAACTACATGTTATAAGAAAAAAATTACCTATAAATTCCACCACAAAAGGAGAGGTTTTCATCCTGCATTGAGATGTGTCACAATCACTGGTAATTGCGCACACTGAAAGTGGGAAAAACTAAGACAAGAAGAAAAAAGGCTAATGGTATCACACAAACAATGCAATAAATTTTGAAGAATCCAAGTTTTGATATTTGACAATCAACCAAAACTCAGTCATCAGGAACCATGACTTCAAACCTTTCATCTATGACATAAAATGGAGACAAAGAATTTTGATTTAGTATAATATCACTTTCATTTAATTTGAAGTTAATTAACCCAATGGCGCCGGGTGTACAAAAGAAAAAAAAAAAAACTCTACGCTCTAGCAAACAAAGGCGGCGCGCCAACTTTGAGAGCGCGAGTACGGGACATCAACCCGAATCACTGGCTCGCCGCGCTTTGGCGCGCCGCCGGCTCGTTTGGCTGCACGCCAGCTTTCGAGCGCTTTGTTTACACGCCGATCGGCGTGACCCAGCACCAAGGGGTTAAGTGACTGGGATTTTTTTGTATTATATATCATGTCCATCTTACCTATATTACCATTAAGCATTCAGTCTTTTTGACCCACTTGGGATTTCCCTGTGCCACACTAAGCTATGTACAGGGAATTGCATGCGATATACTCTGCAGCATACTCTATTTTTTTTTAGGGAATGAGATTTAAAAAGTGGGCTGTTTTTTTCACATGCCAGAGCCAAATAAGTAACAACTTTCTCATGCTTAACTTAAAATATTCTCATACCATTTGCATAATTTGTGAAACTGTTACCATTTTGGGTTTGGAAAAATATGAGTAAGATGGGGTTCCTGCATGGTTAGTGATCAAAGGAAGAATTGTGGGAGAGGCCCATGTCCAGTCAGGTGATCATCCTTGGGAGTTTCAGGTAGAAAATTCAGGGCCATTTACTTCTGGTTAGATCTAATCTTACTGACTCATCTTTTCATGAAACAAACATTTTCAAAGAATATTTTGCGAATGAGTGAAGTAATAAATACAATTCTGAATGTGTATGACAAAGGAATCTAAAAACTTGTCATATAGTTCTACGAAACCTGAATGTCCTGGGAGAATATGTGGATAAATAATTAATGTGTAGATGTATAGTAAAAGCAATTAGTTAAGAAGTAAAGGTATGCATTTGAAGTGAATAATGGACATGTAAAATGAATGAAAAAACTAGAAGTAAATCAAAATATATAACAAATAATTCTAAAATATCTGAAACACTAAAATGTAAGATACAGAGGAAAATACAATATTAATGCACGAAGCAAACAATTCAGATAGTTCATCTTTATCATAAAATTTGCTAAAAACACAAGAACAAAGCATTACAGATCTATTAATCAAATGCTCACAACCTGGTACTCATTCCAAAGCCATGCAATGCATAGGTCCTAAAGAAAAGAAGAAGAAGAAGAAATTTTAGTTTCTCTAACATCTACTAAAATCTTACCACTATCACTTCCTTTTGATGAATAATCATCATTGTTTTCTTCATCATTTGAAGAATCCTGTTCCCTTTTAATGGTTTCTTTTTCTATATCCATCTTGGATTCTTTTGGAAGTGTATCTGTTTTCAATACACTTTTTTCTATTATAATATCATCATCCGAATCTTGACTTTGGACCATCTGACTTGTAAGGTTTTCTAACTTATTAAGTTGTTCTATTTCCTCACATACAACTTGCTCCTTCTTTGGATTAGGAGTAACATTCTGGTCTAGTGATGTGGTTTTGCTCTCTACATTTTCTGAATCTGATGCAAAGAGGTCTTCTATGGAGCAATTTTTATCAACTGTATCCAAAAGACTTGTCTGGCTATCAGTTTCTATGCCTTGGTTTCCATTGACTCCATTCTCTGTCTCAGCAATTACATCTTCTAAGATCTTCTCACTGGCTGCCACTTTGCCATCCTCTTCAGGGAGTCCATTCCCATCCATGTTTATCCCCAAAACACTAAAAACATCTTCTTGCGTCAAGCCACTTCCACTGGCTGGAGTCTGAGTCTGAGGCTGAACATTATCCTGTTAAATTCAGAAATATGAATCATTTTTTCTTAAAGTTGATATGAGAATATTTGAACTATAACACCATTACCTGAATTTTTATAATTTTTTTTAAATATAATTTTTTACATGTTTTTTTATATAAACATAACAGAAAAAAATATATATCTTAAGTATATCAAAACTACTACACTATACTACACTTTACAACAACATCTATACTTACTTTTCTTTTCAACATTGCTGAGCTATGAAATCCCATTTTTTTTCTTGACAAGCAGAACCGTCGCATGAAATTATCAAGCCATGCAACTGTTGGCTTGAATTCCTTGTCAGAGACCTGTTACCAAATACAACTTGGGTGAGTCTAACAAGTTTACCTTCTAGAACTTACACAATTTTTTTCAGCAGAATTTGTGATTCGAAAAATAATCTTGGTCTATATAAAGGCCTATCAGGAAGATCAATTTTATCAAACCTTTAAACAATTTCATTCCAGTTCAAAGTAAAAGGGATTCCAGCAGAAAATATAAAAACGGGGTAAATCTATGGCCTTTCAACCAGAACATGTAACCAAAGCAAAAGATATTCTTATAAGTCCCTACTCTCACAGAATATATAGGCAAGTACAGAACTTACAAAAAAGATTGGAATGCAAATATTTTCAGTACCTCATCATACATACATCAATGCAACTGTGTTCAAATGAAAAACTTTGGAATCAAACATAGCTATGAGAATTCTGGCAGGCAGTCAGGAGGGTTCACAGGAGTCAGACAACACCATCTGTTGTTCAGTGCATGTATTACTTCATAAGAGAAGGTTCTTTGCATCTGTGGTGCTCCACTGCCATTCATACAAATTGCACCATAAGCTTAGCTACTTGTGTGTTGCACATACTGGGGAAGACATTTTCTGATGACTCTAAGTATATACTTCAACTTAGTGAAGAAGAGAGATCACATAACAAAATATGGGCTCAACTAGTGAAAAGTAGTGGCTGAAATTAATCAAAGAGATACTGGGTAATGAGCTACACCCACTGTGGGTCACAGGAAGACATCTCTGCGGACTGAGAAGCTCTTGAAATGTAAACTACTATCAAATCCATACATTTCAGTCCCCAAATTAAAGAGAGAAAAACAGAAATACTGGGAAATGTATATATATGTTCAATTTAGCATCACATTCAAACAGATGTCAGCCTCTCCTCTTACCATCCTGCACCCATGCTTTTTTAAACATCTACTTATTTTTAAAAAATTAGTATTACTTTCTCCACACTAAAGCTACAGCGTGTGGTGTTGATCCTATGGAGAGGATAAACCTTTAGCATTTTACAAGGCACTATAGAGTCTATGTCTCAGACACATAATGGTGATAATCTACAGGCCTTGTATGCTGTGCTCTATAATGGGTCAGCAGGGTCATGAGAAGCCGGAGCACCTGTGTGGCACTCGCACCGCAGTTCAGTACCAACCGTGATTAAAAGTGGATGATCAAGTGGACTATCCTTGGTGATTTTATTAATCCTTTTAAAAACGGTACAGAATTCTGTGTGACGTGAACAAAGTGACATTGACAAGGTTCTGCATTACTTCATATCTGTAAGGCGATACAGATAGTCCCCTACTTAAGAACATTCCATACACACAAACAAAATTTTTTAAGTACTAAAGTCCAAAATTTTTTTTTGAAAGATGCTAGCAAACTTCAATTATCCCGGGCACGAATATAATGCAAGAGTCCGGTACTGTATAAGGTATGTCGTACTTATTGGGATTTATTTACAGGTATTCTTAATGGAAACAAAACTTTAAAACACTGGGAAAAAAGGTAATGGAGACCCGACTTTCGACATACAAACAAATCAACTTATAAACAGCCTCTCGGTCCCCATTATGTTCTTAAGTTGGGGACTTACTGTACTTGTACTTGTCAGGTGACAAGGGAAACATACTCGTAAGAAGATAAGGAAATTCATCTGCATAAGCAAGTAAACTCTGTTAAATGTATAAAATTATTTCTTGTGTTTGTAATAACCATTTGATATAATGGCTGAATTAATCTTATAAAAGAAGTCACATTCAAAATTTGAAGTATTATTCTTATTCAAACACTGAGCCCACTCCAGAGTGAGTGGAACAAAAGTCTGTTATCCAATGGCCTATACATGAATATATTTGAGATATTTTAACTTATTATCATATATACCCAAGGAAGTATGAACTTCACAGTGCTCATATGGACCAAAATATGGGCATTAGGGTTACATGTGTGACTGCTCTGATGGACATGCGGCTTGTAGGCCAGGCTCACAAACACACTCATGCACAGTGGCAAGACTTTATGCCACCTTTGCAATGTTATTTTCTCTTTTTATGGATAAGCATTTTCAGCTTTTTAAAAAATTTCCAATGTCCATATTTGTCATTTGATTTCCTTTATCCAGAAGGTAATAGACTGTTTTCTTTGCACAGACTCCATAGCACCTCTCTAGGTAGTCTATAACTCAGTGCAGGAAAAATTAAAAAATAATCTTTTTTTATTGTTTTTTTCCCACAATATTAAATCTTCTGTAATATAACTTAAATCACCAGTCACAGCAGCCATGAATAGGATGCTGAGCATGGAAATGGAGTCCTCCTCAGAGCTGGCACTCTTCCAGTCACACCTCACAGACATTACATTCCATAATCATTTGTCAATGGGAATAATGCAAAAAGGCCCTTTTTATAAATGCTAAATGAGTCTAATCGCCCTCCAAAAGCTTTGTGCAATTGTGGTGAGTCTTTCCTGTCAACCCATCCTTAAGCCAAAACCCTCATGATGGGAAGTTCATGTAACCTGGCCATAATAATAATAATAATAACAATAATAACAATAATAATAATAATAATAATAATAATAATAATATAATAACGAAAACAATGATTTAAAATCAAGTATTTAGTGAAAAATTTATCAAAATTTAAGTTTTATACGTAAAATTTGCTCTGCATTGAGTCTCTGATATTGGTCAATTTGTGTACCAAACCTTATTAAATCAGGACTATTCAAACATTAAACTTTGTGTGTTTTTATATACATATATACCTACACAGAAGTTATAACCCGTGACCCCCACCCTCCCTGTTTGGAGCATAGGAAAAATTAATTGGCTCCAGTAAGTCTCAGACTCCATTTACTTTACATATGTGCTTCTATAATTCTCAATATTGAATGAATATGTTATATTCATGCTAGGATAATGTGATTACAGTATATTTGAACTGGCATTGCCATCCATAATCTTCCATTCCTTCATTATCTCATAAAAAGGGAAGCAGTGGTTGCCATGCCAATAGTCTCACTGAAGAGTAAAATAAATTATAATTTTATTTATATATAACTTCATTAGATAACAAACTCTGGCAAGTATCCAAAGTTCCTATGGCCTCTTCTCAGTTCTTTGTTTACATTAGCTTTGGTACCATTCAGAATCTGTAGGTTTATTCTGAAACCAATTTCTCTGTTGAAAGAATGTCGCAGTATGAACACCACCTAAAAGCTGGATTTTAAAATTTCTAAACATTATACAAGATGAAGCCTGTAGACTAAAGCCTGAAAATATACACAATATAGTTTACAATTACAAGAGCGGAGGGGGGTCTCAAATTGTTACCTGTCTATGATCAATTGACTGGAGCAAGGTAGACATCACCAGGGACAGCCCTCTTTACCCCTTCAATCAGGGTGATGTGAAGATCAACTCATGAAAAAATCTGGCTAAAGGGGTGGGTGACGTGAATGTGCCATAATGGGAAAATCTGGCTGTAGGCTGGGTGATGTGAACCTGCTGTCATGAGTGTTTTGGCCAAAGGCCAAAGTGATGGGCAAAACTCCCCAGGAGTGTATAAACCTCTTGGGAGGTTGATTAGACTCATTTGCTAATTTTGCACTCAAGCATTCAGTGCATGAATTCATAGAATAAGTTTCTTTAATCTACATAAAAGGTCTACACTGCCATCCTCCCTCTCCCAAGTGTGTACAAGACTTTGTCCCTATAAGTCTCAAGTAGATATCTTAATTTCTTCAGACATGTCACAAATGATTCAACAGTATATGAAGTGTCACATACCCCTTAACTCAGTTGCATCACAGCAATCAAATCACCAAATCCATATTTGCCATTTGATTTGTATTATCCAGATGGAAATATATATATATATATATATATATATATATATATATATATATATATATATATATATATATATATATATATATAAATATATATATATATATATATATATATATAAATATATATATATATATATATATATATATATATATATATATATATATATATATATATATATATATATATATAGACTCCAATCATCTCTCAAGGTAGTCTACAACTCTGTGCAAGAAAAATAAAACTATGTAACATTATGTAATTTGTGTAATTTAAAAATATTTTTATATATTAAATTTTCTGTGAAACAACCTACATCGCCACTCACAGCACCAGGAGTATGATGCTGAGCATGGAAATGGCTTTCTGCCATGGAGCTGGTTCTCTTCCAGTTGCCAGTCATGGACATTTCATTCCACACTCATACATCGATGGGAGTAATGCAAAATACCAAATGAGTAAAATAAACCTCCCAATAGGTTTGTGTACTAGTGGTGAGCCTTTTCCCTCACCCCAGTCTACAGCCACAACACTCACAACAGCAGGTTCACATCACCTGGCCTATAGCCAAACTTTCCGGTGAAGGCATGTTCACATCACCCACCCCTCGATCTGGATTTTTTCATGACATGAGGGTCACGTCACCCAGATCCAACGGGTTAATAGAAATATGGAGAATTTTAGAACCTATAACACAACCACTTTTTTTTTTTGTCAATTTTATGTTTGTTTGAACTTTCCATATGCAAATGGTCTGACCCTATCACAATGGCAAAGTACCACTGCTCCCATGTAAACAAGCCAGTTAGGTTGGAGGAATCACACAAGCATCCTCATACATTATACATTTACAGCACTAAAGGAAGGAAGGAAAAAATTCTCAGATAATATTTAACAAGAACCTTTTTTTAATTAGCAATAACAGTATTATAGATCCTCCACAGCACAAGATCAAGATGGAAATAAGTCACACTACACTATAAAATTGATGGAAAAAGTGATTAACTGATAGGGTCTTCATACAGATAATACTTAAATTTAGGAAATTATGCAGCCATAAATTCAGTTATCCATTCCTAAATACATGTTTGTATAAACTTACCATCAATGCAATGTTCAAGGCCATCTTACGAACATCATCCCTGAGCTTGTGCTTTCCAATTTGACATAGTTTATCATAAAGCATCCCTTCCACTTTGGGATGCTCACTGTGCTTCAAGCCAGCCTCCCTGTACACCTGTGTAGATAAAGAGAACATATTAATATCAATAATCACTCAGGCTCAAAACTGTTTATGCTTTTATGTGCATGTATGTATAAATATAAATATATATATAAATATACACATATGCAATATATTTTCCTATGTTGGTGATTACTCTGATTTGGAAATACTAAGTAAACTTCAAGGCCTCTTCTAATAAACTATCAAATGTTAATTGAGCCATCTATTATCTAAAAAATACAAACAGCAGTGACCGCCTTTACAAGTGATGCAATGAGAATTAGGGTAGGAATGCCACATCATATTTAAATATACTTAAAATGTAATATTTCCATTATAAGTAAAACTTATTGCCATATTTACCTTATTGTCTTGTTACAAAAGATTATCAAAATAGAGTATATTTCAATATAAATGTGCATTCTATTGCCAGCTTTTACTTTGAGATGTGGCAACTTGGCTAATCATAATCTTTTTTTTTGTCTAAGACAAATTTCAGTCTAAAACCTTTTGTGAATACCACCCTAGGTATTAAGCTCTGTTGAGTGTGACTTGTAGACCTAGCCCACTTCAACACTCTTATGTGGTATCAAAAATCTTATTATCTCTCTGACAGCAAAAGTATTTTTTTTTTTTTTTTTTTTTTTTTTTTTTTTTTTTTTTTACCATTTTCCAAAGTCTATATTTAAAATAGAAATAATGCATGAACCCCTTTCTGAGTCCCTATAAAGTCTAATCTTCTGCCAAGAGCTTTGTGCTTTCATGAGGAGTCATGCCTGGCACCAGAGGTCTTAGCCAATTCTTTTATGATGGCACATTCTCCTTACTACAGTCCTCAGTTATTTTTTTCCTAGTCATATCACCTATATCCAATTAACATTATAAAAAGAAACAACAATTATCATATGAGTTACATTACTTCAAATCCTTGAGAAACATTCAGTTTATAACTAAACAAAATGGGAAAAAAAGGATGTTAAAAAACATTTTTTTTTTATTAGACTTACCTGGCCTGTCATGATGACAGCCACCTGCTGGGAATTCCCATCAGGGTCATGCTCCATTCTCATAAAAGACTCCATGATGTCCAGTTGTATAAAGATCAAGAGAACTGAGTAGCAACTAGCAAAGGCACCAGTTCATCATTCCTGTAAATGTAATCAGTACAAAGATAAGTACCTGGATAAGAAAAAAAATACACACATACATACACAAGGGTTGGTGATTGCATATAATATAATATAATATAATATAATATAATATAATATATATATAAAATCATTTATCACCATACAAATACTTGGAAAGCTATTATATACTCTATATATTAGATAAAAAACACATTTTCATGATTTTACGGCATGTTGCATAATATATCATTCTATGATATGGCCAGACTTGTGCCACTGTGTAACAGTTTGGGTGTTACAGCCATTCATTCCTGAGCTAACTGCAAGAGCGGAGAGGTGTCACTGACCACAAGGCCAAATGTATCTAGTAGGGAGACTGATCCAGTGTAAGAACATTTAAACAGATTTCCTTCGAAGTCTGGGAAATGATAGAGAGCTATGTGCAAACAGCGTAAACTTGAGTTACAAGGAATAGTAGCAAGAATAAAATCTCAAAGAAAAAATATAATTATCGGAAGAGGATTTGGATGATCCAGGTAAGACTGAAAATCTGACTCCAAAGGTGTCTCATTACAAAATGAGTGTCCATTTTCTGCCATAAAATTTTCAAAGCGTAAAGCATCATCTTATTGTGAAAAAGCAATCCTTCATGAAGTCACTAAGATGGTCTTGGCAACCAAATCTTCATTTAGATTGATAGAACATCCTCAGATTTGTAAAATGGTTGGGAAGTTGAGGCCAGGATACACTCCTCCAACAAGAAATGCAATTTCAGACAAATTCCTAACCATGATATACGAAAAAGAATATGCAAAGTGTGCCACATAGCTGAAGGATGAAACTGTATGTCTGTCTTTAGATGGATGGTCTAACATTCACAACATGTGATACTGTGACAACCTCAAATGGCCACATATGTATCTAATGGATACAATAGACATAATTGAGTATCTAGAAGAGCTCTCAAAATCAGCAATTCAGAAGTGTAAAGAACTTGGATGCCATGTTGGTAGCATTGTGACAGATAATGCAGCTAACATAAACAAAATAAAGAAACTGTTAGAACAGGGAAATGAACTGAAGCTGGTGACCAATGGCTGCACACATCCTGAATCTTCTGGCTCACGATCTGGAAATTGGCAGTATTAAAGAGCATGTGATGTATATAGTAAAATACTTTAGAAACAATCACTATGCTTCAGCAAGATACTGCCAGGAAGGTGGGTAATGTCTTGTTATGCCTCAAGATATGATGGAATACCATGTGTAACTGTCTGAATATATATGCACACATGAACTGGCAAGCTCTCATTAAAATTTGTGAAGCTGGTAAGGAGCAGACTGATGTCAGAGTTAAAGAGGTGTTTAACTTAACAATGAAGTGGTCAGCAGAGGACCTACTTGCATGACTAGAACCAATAGTTGTGGCTTTGGACTAAGTACAGTGATAAATGAACTGCTGAAGCAGTGAATATATGAAAAGAATTAATCACAGCTTTATGGAATGACAGAGATGCAGTAACTGCTGCAAAAAAGAGGTTTGGCCCAGTCATAACACAAGCTCATCTCCTTGTGACCCTGATTCATCCTTCCTCAAAATGAAAACTATTTAGCGCAGAACAAGTGAATAATGCAATGGACTATGCCAATGAAAGATTCCCTCCTTTTCATACAATTAAGTTGAGTGATTCTGTGACTGAGTGTACTGCAGCTGTTGAATGGTAGAGGTCACATTCAAATGTGTTGGAGAGTGATGTGATTTCAGTAGCACAATAACTACTGTCTGCAATGGCATCTCCAATGGGGGCTGAATGAGTTTTTTCAAGCTATGTACATTCAAAACCAAGAAACCGGCTGATGATAGAAAAATCAGCAAAGTTGATGTTTTTATTTAAAATCATGAATACACACAAAATGGATGTATCTGACAATATTAATGATCAGACTGCATAAAAGAACAAATCTATTGTCATAAGAATTTTTAAAACTATATTTCTTAAAGACTTTAAATCTAAATTTCAAAGAACTTATAATTTGTTTTCATGATTTCTTTACTTAAATCAATGATTTAAAACCCAGATAAACACACACACACACACACATACACACACACATATATATATTTTCTTTATATACATATACATATATGTACTTATATATTTTATATTATATACATGTGTTACACATAATATACATATATTACACATTATATACATGTACTACATATAATATTATATACATACATATATATATATATATATATATATATATATATATATATATATATATATATATATATATATATATATATATATATATATGTATTTTTTTTTTTTCTTTTTCTTTTTTTACTTGTAGCAGATATATACACATACATATTCATACATATATATGTATATATGCATAAATATATACAGATATATGTTTATGTATACATATATACACACAAATTTTACATATACATACATATATTACATATACATATATACATCATATACTATATATATTATATATCATATATACATAAATTATATACAAATATATTCATTATATATATCATATACATATGAAACATATATAGTTACATATAGACATAAATACACATACATATACATATACAATATACATATACACATGCATATAATATATATACATATCAATATACTTATATCATATATAAACAATATATATTTACATATAGACATAAATACACATACATATACATATACAATATACATATACACATGCATGTTCATATATATACATATACATTCCTATATACACATATATTATATATATATGTATAAATATACACATATATGTATGTATGTGTATGTATTATATGTATAATACTACAATATAAAAAGATAATAACTACAATATCTTCATTCATATATAAGAAAAACCTAAACTCTTCAT